ATAGTAAGATATCAAGGGAAAGAAATGAGAATGAATCACCGCTAACATTCCTCCCTTCCCATATTGGATGTGTGTCCCCACACATCAAGGTTGAGTTCATCTTGCATATTTTCAAGTTTTATTTGAATTTCTCTTATATTTGTTGGGGTATTTTGTTCAAACGTTGATAAATGACTAAATAAATTTTTAAGACATAAACATAATGATCTTCAAGGTAAACATGAAATGATTGAAATTGCAAATCCATTAGTAATAGATCTTCTATAAGAGTTGTATCAATTGATTGGGTATAGAATTTTCACGAGAATAATTTTAATTTAATTTTATCATCTTTTTTGTAAACAAGAACATTGTCGGTTTCCATTTCCATCAATTTTTATCATTAATTTAATTAGTTTAGGTAAATATTGTTTATCATTTAATTCATTTTGGAATAATAAATAATAGATAATATCTGTTGATGGTATACCTTGAAAAAGCTATAAATTAATTTTTTCATTTATTTTTATTTCTAAACAACTATATGGATAAATAATTGTATATTGTTGTTTCGATATTGGTAATATATAGCATAATAATGTTTGTTGAGTTTGAAATAATTATTATTCGATGATTTTACAAAATGTAAATCAATTGAATCATTTGTATATAAACCATATCATTAAGATAATCAATAAGTAAATATTTATGTTAAATATTCGATGGTGAAAAATTGATATATATAAATTTTTCTTCGTTTGATGTGCTAGATGTGAACATAACATAATCTTGTTTTAATCATAGTAAAGTTGTGAACTGGTACCACGTGCGTCATTCTTTGCGCCAAACAGTGCGCGCATACTGTTAAAGTGCATCGATTGTTACACATTATGATTGAATAATATATCATTTCGTATTAAGTATTAAAAAGAAGAAAAAAAATATTTAATATTCGAGTTCGACAGCCCCTCCTTGTCAGTGAGAAGGTGAATTTCTGTCTCCCCGGCATGGACTGCTGAATCAAACTGAATCATTTTTACTTAATTATTAATGATAATTATTTTTACTTTACTAATTGTGCCATCTAATACACATCTTTCCCTCTCGGGATGTGTTTATTGGATTAAATTCCATCGTTCCACCAATGGAACGATAACATCCATTGTCACTTGTTTTGTTAACGTTAATTTTTTAACATGTTGGACAATAAATGTTTTAATTCCTAATTGTTTAATAATTTTAAATGGACCTTCATATCGTATATCAAATTTATTTCTAATGTTTCTTGTTTTTACCAAAACTAGATCATTGAGTTTTAATGATAAATCTTGTCTATGTAAATCATATCGAGCTTTATATTGTTGTTGATTTTTTATAATATTGTTTCGAGCTTCATTTACTAATTTTTCGAGATATATTCTAATTTTTTGACTGTGCTCTGGATCTTGTGTGAGCGAAATAATTTCTTTTTGTTGATCAAATGGAAGTGTAACTTGTCTTCCATGCATCATTTCGAATGGTGTTTGTTTTGTTGTCGCATGTATTGATGTATTATAATTAAATGTAACAAATTGTAATACTTCATCCCAATCCGTGCGTCGTTCATTACATAAGGCGGCAATTTTTCCATCCATCGTAGCATTAAATCGTTCAATTTGTCCATTAGTTTGTGGATGATATACTGTGGAATAAAGATGAGTGACTCCAATATTTTCAAATAATTTGTTCATAACTTGAGAAGTAAAATGAGTACCATTATCGGTTAATATACATGTTGGAGTGCCATATTTTAATATAACATCGTTTATAAGAAATTTTGCTGCTGTTGCTGCTGAACAATCTCGAACAGCTTTTGCAATAACAAATTTTGATAAAACGTCTGTAAGAGATATAATATATCTGTTTCCTTTTTTTGATGTTGGAGTAATTGGACCATGAAAATCCATACTTAATAATTTCCATATTCCTTCGGGTGGTGGTATTGGTTTTAATTTTCCTGGTAATTTTTGACGACGATAATTATTTTGTGCACATGGTAAACATGAATTTAAATGATTTTTAATATCTGCTATCATTGTTGGCCAATAATAACGTTCTTGAATTTTTCTTATTGTTTTGTCACGTCCAAAATGAGCTCCATTAGCAGGTGTATCATGATAAATTTTTAATATATCAGCACGTATTCGTCCTGCTGGGACGTATGGTACTGGTGGAAGTGGTAGTTGTTGTTTTTTAAATAATATTTCATCTTCAATAAAATAATGTTTTTTATTCTTAATATTCTTTTTTATTTCTTGAATTGTTTTGTCTTCTTCTTGACATTTTCTTAAATCATTCATATCAAATGGGATGATCTTGTTTGGATTTTCGTCTGATGGTTTGATTATCAATTCTTCATCAGTCGCTACTTTCCCTTGTGGGATGAGCTCATTAATTTTTTCATTCGTCGGTTTAATAGATGGTGTTGCCGTTGCTTGTTGTTGTAATTTGGCTTGAGCTCTAGTAATTGCTGTTGTTATTTTTAATGGAATCAAATTATCATTTAATGATGAAAATGATAAATCTGTTTGTGTTGATATTGATTCATATTGAGTTCGTTCTTCAATATCTTCTTCAGCTACTTCGACTGGTGATCTTGAAAGATAATCTGCCATATGGTTTTTCTTGCCTTGAATATGTTTCACCTTAAATCGATATTCAGCTAATCTTAATCGCCATCGTTCACATCTTTTATTTAATTGTTCTTTGTTTGCAAAATGAATTAATGGTTCATGGTCAGTTTCTAATATAAATTCATGTCCACGAAGATATTTGTCCCATTTTTCTATTGCTTGTACTATTGCATAACATTCTTGTTCAATTGTTGGCCAATTAATTTGTGTTCTTGTTAATTTCTTTGACATATATGCTAATGGTCGATCACCATTGGGGGTCATTTGTAATAGAACAGCCCCGATTCCATCTACAGAAGCATCAGTTTGTAATTTAAATGTTAATGTATCATCAGGTAAATCGAGAATAAGATCAGTTGTTAATATTTTCTTGAGTTGGTGGAATGCTGTTCTAGCTTCAGCAGATAATTCAAATTTTAATTTTTTATTATTCTTCTGTTGTTGTACTGTTGCTGGAGAATATTTATGTAATGGTGCAGCGATGGTGGAAAATTTTGGAATAAATTTTCGGTAATATTCTGCTGCTTTGACGAATCTAAATGCTTCTTCAGCTGATGTTGGTTCACGTGTTTCGGTCAAACCACGGATGTTGTCTGGATCAGGTTTAATAGTACCTGCTTTAATTAAATGTCCAAGAAATAATATTTCTGCTCTTGCAACTTCGCATTTGTCAACATTTAATTTAAAATTGGCTTCTTGTAATAATAAACATACTTCTTCGATATGTTTTAAATGTTCATTAAAATTTTGTGAATAAATAATAATATCATCGATATAGGCGAGTACATGTTTCCATCTGTTTGGACCTAATATTTGATTAACAATACGTTGAAATGTTGGTGGTCCATTAGTAAGACCCTGTGGTAATACTTTAAATTGAAAATGTCCATCTCGAGTTGAAAATGCTGTTTTTGGTCGATCTAATTTGTCTAATGGTACTTGAAAATATCCAGCTTTAAAATCAAATTTTGTAAAATATGTTGCTTTTGTTAATTGGTCGTAAATATCATCAATTCTTGGTAGAGGAAAAGCATCTTTTGTTGTAATTTGATTCAAACGACGATAATCGACGCAAAATCTGGTTGTTCCATCTTTCTTTTTTACTAAAACGACAGGTGAAGACCATGGTGATGTTGAATGTTCAATAATTCCATTTTTTAATAGTTTATCTGTTTCTTTTCTTAAGGTTTCTTGGTCTTTGTTCGATTTTCTATATGGTGGTGTATGAACAGGACGGTGTGTACCAGTATCAATAGCATTTTTTAAAATTATATCAATTTTTGATGGTTCACTAATGTCAAATAATTTTCCATATTTCCATAAAATTTTTAAAATTTGTTCTCGTTGTTTATCATCACTAATATGTTCAATTAATTTATTTATTTGTTGTCTTATTTCTTCAGGATAACAGTGGTTTCTAAGATGTTTGAATAATTCATTGCTGGTATCAAAATGTTGATAACATTTACGACATTGATGTTGTTTTCCATGTGATGCTATAGTTGGTATGTTGTTACATTTTAATTTATTTGATTTGTTCGCTCCTTTCCCTTCAGGAATGAGCTCTTTACACGCTTTTCCTTCCGGAATGCGTTCTATGAAATAATTTGATGGTATGGTAACACCAATTGTAGAAGATAATTGTGTCACTATACCTAATTTGGTTCCTTCGGAAAGTGTTTGTTGTCGATTCGTTGCATTAATTATACTAATTTTTATTCTTCTGTTTTCAATGTTCAGTAATGCAGTTGCAGTAAATAATGCTTTATTTTTTAATCGAGGATTTGGTTCAAATAATACATCTATCATATTGTTATGTTGAACTTGTACTTCTACTATTTTTTCTGAAAAAGGAGGAAGAGTAATATGATTAATAAGAGTAGCTGGATAATTTAAAAGAGGTGGTTTTACAAAAGGAGTTGATACTTCTTTACCTCGACTTCGGATCATAATTTGTTGTTCAGGTGTAAGAATATAAACATTGTTTGATTGAATCCAATCACTACCTAATATTAAATTCGTAACAAGATTTGTTGTAACATCAGCAATTACTGTTGTTTTAATTCCATTAATATTGATTTCTAATGGTATCTCTCCAATAATATTTAATGTTGAACAATTGGCTGATAAATGATTTTTCGTTGTTGGTGTAAATTTTTTGTGTGAAATTTTATTTAATAAATTTTGATGTATGATTGTGATGGCTGATCCTGTATCAATCAATGCTTCTTGTGGAGTGTTGTTGCATAATACGTTAACAAAAATGGGATTAAATGCTGTTGTAGTTGATGACTTTTTGGCTCCACAGGGATCGTCGCCATCATCCGATCCCTTTATTCGAAAAAATGTTGTTGAGGACAATCACGTATTTGATGATTTGATTGTCCACATTTAAAACAGCTGTTGTTCTTCTTATAAAAGCATTTAGTTGTTGTATGATTGGTTTTGTTGCAAATTAAACATGGATTTAATTGTTGTGTTTTGTTTTCTGGATAATCTTTTCGATTATGTTGAGGAGTTGAATGATTATTTTGTTTTGAATATGTTCGATTATTTATTGTTGTTGATTGTTGTTGATGTTGATGTTGTTTTTTATAATAATCACGTGGCGTATATTGTTGTTGGTTTAATGAGTGAGCATTTGTTAATGTTCGTTGAATTGTTGCTGTTGGTAATGCACGTTCAAAAAACGGTGGATTTTTTGGTTCATAATTTGAAGTATTAACTTTTTGTTGAAGTCGTTTTTTTATATATTCTTCTTCTCTGGCAACTTGTAACCATTGTTCTGGTTTTTTAATTTCTTTTTCATTACGAATTAAATATTCTTTTAATGAATTTTTAACACCATTTTGTAATACTGTGATAACTTGTTGTTCAGTAATAAATTGTCGAGATTTTCTATATTTCCGAATTACATTTTCATAAAATGATATAACGGATTGGTTCTCTTCTTGATGAATATTAAAAAATTCTTGCATTAATTGACTGTTGGATGTAAATTCTTTGAATCGATCACGTAGTGCTTTTTCAGCATCATTCCAAGTAATGAATGATCTTAAATTTTCTTGATACCATCGTAATGCTGGTCCTGTTAATTTGCCCATCGTGTCAAGAATTCTTGTTTCATCTTTTAATTTCATTAATGAAAATAAATTATTTAAATCGAATAACCATTCATCAATATCGATTTCATTAGCTTCTCCTGAAAATTCAGCTATTTTCTTCATCGCTTCTTGTTGACTTGAATGAAGTTGTCGAGTTTCCATTGAGGTTGTTTCGATTTCTTGCATTGATAAAATATCGTTTAATTTTTTATTTCGTATGCGTGTTGGTGAATTAGTAATTAATTCATATGGTAAAATATTTGCTCCACGTTTTTTAATCGCTCTTCTTGTACCGGTAGCCGTTGTTAAAAAAATGCACTTAAAGGAAGGACAAAAAATTTGAACTTTATACAGAAGAAAATTACCTTCTTCTAATAAATAAATAATATATATGTATGTAATTTTTCTCTCTCTTCCCCTTAAAAGGATGAGATTATACTTCACTCTTTCCGTTACGGATGAGTAAATTAATTAAGGAATTCGTTCTTCTTCGGTGTAGTAAATAGAAGAAGATGGGTCACGGCACCAAATTGTTAGCTCGTTTCGACGAGCTGATG